GAAACAAAACGACACGGAAACAAAACGTTTCGACATGTGAAAACATAATTTTTCATATTTTTGCTTTGGAAATGCTATAGAAACGTCTATAAAATAAACAGACAGTATGTGAATTTATTTTTCCATTCTGGCTAGTATATCTAAGAATACAAATAAACAGAATTCATTACTTCATGAAATCAGTTATGTATATACATAAATTTTTCTTAATAATCAGAAGAAAATTGAAAATCTCAAGGAGAAAGAGATTTTCTTTATTTCGTTTGCTTGTGTTTCTAACTTCCACCTTGGCGTGATTTATGTACCCAATTTTAGCCCTTTAGGTTTAATTAGTTAGGAATAACATTAGTTAAGTTTTCTAATTTATCAAAATAATAAGTATATCCTCATATTTATTAATTATTTATAGAATTTTTTCACAAGAGAACTCTCGTGTATTTTTTGTTTCTTCCTCTTTCAAAATATTCTCATCAAACTCTTCTATTTCATTTACAACTAGGTATTTTTCTGCACCATGTGCAGTGAAAAACTTTATAAAAGTTAATTATATTTAAAATAAAATTTATTAGTACTACATATTTTATTCCTTTGACTAATATTTAATATAAATTTGATTTAATTAAGTACAAAACTAAGAAAAAAATAAATTTACTTATTGTAAATTATATTTAATATATATATATATGTAATAATATTCAAAATTCAAATCTTAGAATTTTTTTATCTATTTATTTTGGTTAAATTTATTAAATCAACTTGTATAAAACTAATAATAAAATTCATATAAATTTTTTATAGTTATTAAAAACTAGAACTAAACAATATTAATAAAAAAATTCGATATCGAAAAGAAACTAATGATGTTATGATTAAAAATATATTATTTTTTAAAAAAAGATGTAGAAGATTTTGAAAATATTAGTAATAAAATTTTATAATTATAAAAGTAAAATTAAATAAAATTTCGAAATTAATAATACATATTTCAATATATTTATTTTTAGTGATGACTTTCTTTATGAGTTATTTACCATATTTTAAAAAGTTTACCAAAAACATAAATCAACATTAAATGTAATGTATCAGTTATTGCCACATTTTACAATATTTACCAAAAATATATTTCAGCAATAAATATAATTTTACATATCCTATTTAACTATAAGAAATGTCATCAATTTTAGTAGCATATTATCATTTTTTTGTAAAAATAATTGTAGAGAGGACATGGTTGCAAATCATTTCACAAATAATATATAGAGAATTTTTATTTCTTTCTCTCTTAGAGGGAGAGAAGACGATGAAGGCACCAAACATGGAGACCATGATAAAATCTCTGGAAAAATCTATGCAATATATTTATCTGAAAGATTGAAGAAGTTGACTCGGAATATCAGAGTTGATGACGGAAGAGAGCAGCAACAAACATATTCCTCCGGTCTCATATAGAAAATTAGAGCTCAATTCTCACTTATCTCTTCCTTTTCAATGGGAACAATATCTTGATCTCAAGGTAAACAAACCAAAAGTAGTCAAATAAGATTCTTCCTTTTCATTTTTATTCTTTTAAGCTTTCTAGGTTAAATTAATCACTACAAAAATTCGAACTCATGTCGTTTTCATATTTTGGATTGCATTTAATGCTTCTTTTTAGTATATTGGGGCCAATATTTTCCTTATAATTAATGCTCATTTTATTTCCTTTTTGATGCATTCATGGCTTCATGGACCGTATTGCAATGTATAGGGTTTTTCTGTTTAGGCTCGTGTGTTAGGGTAAAAATAAGTTTTCCTTTTTTAAAATAGACCAAAAGAAAAAGAATTATATGGATATATCCTTTTGCGGAAACTTATATTACGCTGAGACCACCACAAACGAAAAAATTTGAGATTCTGGATATGATTTTCTAAACAAAACATAAAGAAAATTGTATATTTTCTTGTTTAATGATGTGTCTGATAAAATCAATGCTATATTAACACAAACATCTATTATATTAAAAGAGAAGTCACAACTTCTCTTCATGTGTAATATTTTTAAAAATGGACTATTACTAGAAAATCATCTAAATACATATCATTTAATTTTCTCAACATGATCTATTATACTAAATAATATTCTTAAAATCAGTTATTGAACAAGAAATAAATCTGAGAAAAAGGTGGAACAATACCAGATTTTTATGTGGTCAACAATTTCAAACATATAAACCAATGAGATTTGGTCCAA